AGGTTTTAAGAAGTTAGTTAGTTACCTAGGATTTGATGTCGGTGGGATCTCTGTTCATTTGATTGTTTAAAATGACCTGTAATTTGCTATGGTAGTTGTGCTTTTTCTCTCTCCTTGTTCACTCTTCTTCCATTAGAAAAAACAGAGAGAGAGAGAGAAGATATTTTTTATTCATGGGATTTTGAAAGTTTTGGTCTTTTTAAGGAATAATAATCTCTTACTGATTTTTTGGGTTGGTTTTTGGTTACAGATTGTAGCATGAGTTTTTCACAAGACATGGATAATGAGTATGAGAAACTCATTAGAAGAATGAATCCACCAAGGTTTTGTGTTATTATTTAATAACCATTTAAAAAAAAAAAATCTCTGATTTGATTTTGCATATTAATAAAGCCTCTGTTTTTTGTTTTTTTTAGGGTTGTGATTGATAATGACTCTTGCAAGAACGCAACTGTGATAAGGGTATGTGTACAATCTTCTGGTCCTGAATTTTTTTTTGTTTTCTTACATATATACTATAATAGTAGTATATTCTTGGGTTTCTGATGTCTTAATTTCTCAGGTTGATAGTGCAAATGAATATGGGATTCTTCTTGAAGTTGTACAAATCCTCACTGATCTTAACCTTAGTATAAGCAAGGCTTACATTTCCTCTGATGGTGGTTGGTTCATGGATGGTAATTAATGCTTCCACGTTTCAATGGTCTTTGGTTTTTTTACTTTTGAACAAGGAACTGACTCTTTACTTCTTCTCTTTGCATTTGGCAGTGTTTAATGTCACTGATCAAGATGGAAACAAAGTCACAGACGAAGTTGTTCTAGACTATATCCAAAAAGTGAGTTTCTTTTTAACAAGATCTCTCTTCTTATGTGAGTTATGCTTATTGAGAGTCTAATGAGTGTCATGTGGTTGATTCTCTCAGTCTCTTGGTCCTGAAGCTTGTTTCTCTACGTCCATGAGATCTGTTGGTGTCATACCATCAACAGAAAGCACGGTTATCGAGTTAACCGGATGTGACAGACCAGGTTTGCTGTCTGAATTGACAGCTGTTTTGACGCACCTCAAATGCAGTGTCCTAAACGCTGAGGTTTGGACACACAACACTAGAGCAGCTGCTGTGATGGAAGTGACAGATAACTCAACAGGTTGTGCTATTTCTGATCCAGAGAAGTTGTCTAGGATCAAGAACCTTCTCCGAAATGTGCTTAAAGGAAGCAACACACCGAGGGAAGCCAAAACCGTTGTGTCTCACGGGGAAGTCCACACAGAGAGGAGGCTTCATCAGATGATGTTTGAAGACAGAGACTATGAACAACGTTCGGTGGATGATGAATCATCAATACAAGATGAAAGACAAAGACCAGATGTTTGTGTTGATAATTGGCTCGATAAGGATTACTCGGTGGTCACGGTTAGATGTAAAGACAGACCAAAGCTTCTGTTTGATACAGTCTGCACTTTAACTGATATGCAATATGTTGTGTTCCATGGAAGCGTTGACACTGAGGGAACAGAAGCATATCAGGTACAGAGTCCATTACAGTAGAGCAGAGAAGTTTTCTCTGAATCCATTCTCTTATTCGGTCTTGTCTTCGTTTTGCAGGAGTATTATGTGAGACATATAGATGGATCCCCTGTTAAATCAGAGGCTGAGAAGCAAAGAGTCATACAATGTCTTGAAGCAGCTATCAAAAGAAGAGTATCTGAGGTAATAGATCCACCATATATAGTTTTCTTGCTGGTATATACAATTGTTTGTAACTGTTTAACTGATAGATCATTGTCTTCTTTATCCTCACTGATGTTTTAGGGACTGAAGCTGGAGCTTTGCACGACGGATAGAGTAGGCTTATTGTCAAACGTGACTCGCATATTCCGTGAAAACAGCCTAACGGTCACGAGAGCTGAAGTGAAAACCAAAGGAGGCAAAGCTGTAAACACATTCTATGTGAGTGATGCATCTGGTTACTCAATTGATGCCAAGACTATAGATTCCATAAGACAAACCATAGGCCAAACTATCCTCAAAGTCAAGAATAACCCTGAAGAACAACAACAAAGACAGAAACCGCCTTCCCATGAATCCCCGACAAGGTTTCTCTTTGGGGGTCTCTTCAAATCGAAATCTTTCGTCAACTTTGGCTTGGTTCGGTCTTACTCTTGAAGAACAACTTTCACTTAACTGTGAGGTTCAATCTCCTCTATAGGTTTTTTTTTTATCTTGAGAAGAATCTGTAAATCTATCACCAAATTATAGCCTTAATTCTTGGTTTAGGATCCAACGTTTGGTAGGGAAAAAAAGAAAAGGGTTTTAGTTGATGTCATGACTAAGGGTTTAAGTGTTAACCTCCTCTCCTTGTATATATATTATCAAATTCTCATAATTATCTCCACTGAATCTTCTTAGCTTAAATTGGTTTTGTCAAATGATAGTTTTCATGACCTTAAACAAAATATGAAAATTGTGGGTGATAAATTTCATAATAATTGGATAATTCGAGGAGGACTCTTGCTATTTTGGAACGAAATATTGGACTTCGTGATCGATCCTCGTTTTCCCCAATTTGCTCCTTGATTTAAGAGATGGTTCCAAACAAGCCTCCATATATACAGTAATAAAATTATCCGGAATTAATACTCCCTCTCTATCATTTTAAATCAAATTGCAAATTACAAATAGTCAAAATAAATAAAAATACATATAATTTTGTCTTAAAAACTCAAAAAATCATCTAAWWTAATACAAAAAAACCTCTAGAAAATCATCTAATTTAATACAGAAAGTAATAGTTTTATATGTTTATATTAGTATTTTTTTCATTGGCCTCTTGATACTGATTTGTGTTGCGTGGTTATGATCACTTGCACTGTATTATATAAAAATGGATTTGATTTGATTAACATATACATAAATTCAAGAAAATGACAGAGAAACCATGTAGTGTTTAAAACTTATGAAATAAATGGATTTGATTTTATTACATAGGTTCAAGAAAATGACAGAGAAACCATGCAATAGATATTTAGAAGTTTTTAAAACAAAATGGATTTGATCACATACACTGTATTACAACAAAAAAATTACAATGTTAAATAGATATTTAAAAGTCT